TCCATAGGTGCACAGTTTATATTCAGTCTCTTCCCGCACCCCTCACTCCTCTTTTCCCTGAGAATCATCAGTCCACTCCTCTTCCATACCTCTGATTCTATTATATTCAACAGTTAATGTTGTTCATCAGGTTTTTTAATTCCCTTGGTTTTTAGATTCACTTGAATTTGTTGTTCATAATTTTTATCTTTATTTTCTTTTTCTTCTGAAAGAACCCCCTTTAGCAATTCATATAATTCTGGTTTGTTGGTGATGAACTCCTTTAACTTTTTTTTTAGTTATTATTATTAGTGAAGCTCTTTATCTGGCCTTTGATTCTGAGTGATAGCTTTGCTGGTAGAGTATTTTTGGCTGTAGGTACTTGCTATTCATCACCTTGAATATTTCTTGCCATTCCCATCTGGCCTGCATGGTTTCTGTTGAGAAGTCAGCTGACAATTGAATGGGTGCTTCTTTATAGGTAACTACCTGCTTTTCTCTTGCTGTTTCTAATATTCTTTCTTTGTATTTTGCTCTTGGCATTTTAATTATGATGTGTCTTGGTGTGGTCCTCTTTGGATTCCTTTTGTTTGGGGTTCTGTGAGCTTCCTAGACTTGTAAGTCTATTTCTTTTACCAGGTGGGGGAAGTTTCCTGTCACTATTTTTTTCAGTATGTTTTTGGTATTTGCTCTCTGTCCTCTTCTGGGAACCCCATAATTCTGATGTTGGTTTACTTGAAGTTGTCCCAGAGGTTTTTTACATTATCTTTAACTTTCTGGATTCTCTTGTCTTTTTCCTTCTGCGGAGGAGTATCTTCTGGCTCTTTATGTTCCAAATCTTTCACTTGATTCTTGTGATCTTCCATTCTGTTTTTAGGACTCTGTATAATATTTTTTATTTCAGAGAATGTATTATTTATTTCTTGTTGATTCCTTATTATTTCTTGTTGATCCTTTATTATTTCTTGTTAATCCCTTATTATTTCTCGTTGATCCCTTTTCATATCCTCATAGGTCTTATCGGCCTTTTCTAGGAAATTCTTGAAAAACCTTATAAGTGTGGTTTTGAACTCTATATCCAGTCACTTTTTGTCCTCCATTTCTTTCATATGTGATCTGTTTTCTTGTATTGGCATTTTCGCAGCTTCCCTGAGTTGGTAGCCTTAAAAGTCGATGTGCTCAGCTTGGATGGGGTGGAGTTTCAGGGTGGAGCCTACAGCATTGGCTTCCTGTCAGCCACATCCTATGAGGTTCCTGAGTTTCAGTGTTCCTCAGCGTCCTTCAGTACTCCTTGCAAACACCTCTGAGAGAAAGGTGCCCTCGAGTTTCGCCTGCTACCAAACAGTCTAGGCTCTCCCCCAATGAGCCTGGAACTGGGGTTCAGTTCAGTTGGAAGTGGGGTTGGAAGTGGGGTTCAGAACAGTCTGGAGCTATTGTCTCCTTCCTACTAGGGCAATCTGTCAGCAGAGTCAACAGTCTGTCCTTTGTGCGTAATGTGCGCTCCTCCGGGGGCACTGCCTTTCGCTGCTCCCCTGAGATTCTGCCTAACAGCCCAGGCTCTCTCTGTATGAGCCTGGGTCCCCAGGGTCTGGCCTAGAACTGAGGTTCAGTGCTGTTGGATCTGGGGTTCAGCACAGTCTGGAGCTTTTATCTCCTGCCTGCTATGGAATGCCAGCCAGGCACTCAGCCTCCCCCTCCTCTCCAGCTCTGTCCTCTCCCCACACGCAACGTGTCTCTGTACCTTAGGCTTTTACAGCTCCTCTGATTTTCCTTCTGGTTTTCTCTTTCCTTCTCGTTGTAGAATTTCCAGTCAGTCGACTTTCCTGTAGTTCTGGGTAATGTCCATTTTGAGAGCTTGTTTGGAGGTTCTAGCAGGGGAGCACAGCTACTCGTATACCCTTGACCAAAGACCGGTCCTCTCCTCTTGGGGGAAAGTCGTTCTCTTTGACCGAGCATGCAGCTTCAGGAGGGATGCACATGGATTGGTGAGGGAGGAGGGGGGACACCTGCCTAGCCAGCCAGATCAGCCGAATCAACCCTGGCAATCAATGGGGTGACAGATGTCGTAGCCAGATCGCCCTCATATCCTGTAATGTCCATTTTGTATTTTAGTTGTCATTTATTGAAATTGTTGTGTGAGGCTGCAGTTAGGTGTTTACCTATGCCACCATCTCGGATTCTCTCTCCATGTGAGGGTTTTCTTGTAATTTGACATAAATGAAGCATGATATATTTAACATTGGTTATATTTGGATGGATGTTATATTACTGCTAGAGGCCCTGTGCATGAAATTTGTGCATGGAGGGAGGAGGTTGTCTCTCAACTCAGCCTGCACCTTTTCCAATCTGACCTCTCAAGGGATATCCGACCTAGTACTACTGGCTCCCAACCGCTCACTTGCCTGCCTGCCTTATTGCCCCTAACTGCTTCTGCCTTCCTAACCACCCCCTGTCAGCCTTATCAATGCCTTCTGCTCCCTTGTCAGCCTGATTGCCCCTAACTGCCCTCCCCTGCAGGCCT